ACCTGTTGAAAAAAAGGCAAAGTGACCAAATACAGCCAAGTCAGACCTCTCCAGATTGGTAAAATTCACTAAAAATTCCTCCTTCTGACAGTAATATCCCATCCATGCCACACARTTCACTGTCCCTCATTTACCTCCCATTTCAGCCAGGCAACAATGCTATTTTTAATTCACACTAATTGCAAGCCTTAAGGACAAAACAGTTTTCTGTGTGCAAGTGGAAAAAGTACAAATGAAAGAGAGATACAGCCTGAAACAGTTGGCACATGACCTGCCATTTAGAAATTAAAAACAGCATATAGGAACATAAAAGGTCTGCCAGTAGCATCTGCAACGTCCCTTCAGAACAAATAATTAAAATTTTCATCTACTGTAAATACTTTAATGTATACATGCCTTGAGTTCAGAGTTTTGCCATATGTTAGCAGCTACGTGTGGTTAAATATATTCACAAASTTTAAACAGGTCATTATTAATTGCTTTTCTATCCTTTTACCTACTGATCAGATATTATCCACACTCCCTATTTTTTTTCCCCGTCCTTCTTCTTGAATTGTACTAAAAACATCTATTTAGCTGTTCAACTTAAAAACTCAATCTAGAATTGAGCAATCACCATTAAATTTTATCCATATTCAGAATTTTAGGTTAAAATATGTGTTGAGTGTTCACAGATGTTGTGCAGCCTTACATAGGCTACAGATGAGGTTTTTCAGTGAAAAGTATATATCACCAACAATCACAAAGGTCTCAAGTGCTACCACTGAAATGGTGAAATCTAAAGCTCTGCAGACTCACAAATTATGTAAAATAAACCATTATTGCTCAAACACAGGAAAGACATGTAAAGTCCTTTCAGAGCAGTTACAAAGTTAAGAATCTGTTTTAAATTTCATTTAACATGTGGTTRTTTACTTGAAAAAAATCAGTGCAATTATTTAATATTTTTTTTACCTGGCCAAGAAGTCACAGATGCCATTTAAAAACCCAAGRAATTAAAGAACTATTCAAATTATCTTCAGGAGAGATCAATGCAGAGAAGATTGTGATTGTCCTGTTCTGCAACAYAGACAAAACAGTCAGAGGATCATCTTAGTCCTCCACTCATTCAGCCTCTCAGACAAACTCCTGTCTCTGGCTGTCCAAAAAGAGTTGCCAGGAAACAGAAATCTGAATCTGTACATCTTGTGTCTTGGGGATCTACTTCAGAACAAGAACACAGCCCCAGCTCTGCTGCAGGAAGGACTCTAGTGAAMAGGTTCTTCCTTAAAAAGATAATTTATAACCATTGAATTTTAATCTAATGTCATTCTGTCCATTTTTTGGTAGTGTAAACCTTTCTATAYTTTTCCTTCAGTGTCTGGTGAAGATTAGATCTCATGAGCAAATAAGGACGTAGAAGAAAAACCAAAAGGTACCTCACACAATACTCTATTAAACTTTCAGTTCCAAAGTACTTTATTCCCCCCCTTTTTTTGTTTYGATGCCAGCACACAGGTAACTAAAGTATGACTGCAATATGGACTGCTTGGTTTCCCAGTAACAAAGGTACACTATAGGTACATATATGAGGAGAGGATAAACCCATATTTGAAAAATGAGAGTAGTTTCTAATTGAAACAGAAGGGGTGAGCAACACAAAACTACGCTGCCAAAATAGAAATCCTAACACTGAAACATTACCATAAATTTGAGTAGTGAATAATGGAAAGAAATGTTTRCTCAATTAAAAACTCCATGTGTTCAGGCATTAGTATCCCTAGGAAGTGTTGTTCAGYCAACTCAAGGTCAGAGAATTTGAATTTTCACATTTTCACTTCTTACTCTATTTGTCTCAGTTAAAATAAACCAGGTGAGTCTGTCAATGTCTGTTGTTTTACATTTTTAACACTTAACATTGCTTCAACATATACCCCCCACTTGGGAAGTGGTGGCTTCCTGAGACAAATCAACTTTTTATGGTTGGTGAATTACATTTTTGCACTGTGTTTGATTGGTTAAGACTAAAATAAAATCAGAAATTTCTATAATAATTAGTATTTGCTATATGTAATTGAATTTCCCCTGCAATTAATTGCTAACCTTGAGTAACTCACATAATTTTGGGTAAATCATTAAAGAGTCAGAYTTAAGTTAACAGTCATCCAATTATTTCTCTATCTTGCCCAAACACCAAGTGAACCATTATGATTAAATTTATACAGTGCTCCTTGTCCTGATTGTTTGTTACTATGTAAAAAAACCCGCCACCATATCAAAGTCCTGATATGACCTCTTTAAATTATAAATTTCTTAAATTTAGCACAACTCTTGTCTTGGGCTGGCATTCAGAGAACACAGGTTATTGAATATGCCACTTTTAACTGATTTTTATCAATCCTGCGCAGAGTCTCCTCCTTCTAAGTTGCAGCTTGGTAATGGGGCTGGTATCAACAAATTAGCAAAGCYAGCAGTTCATATCAGAGCCATTTCTGATTGGCATTGCCAGATTATTTGTACTAATTTATTCATAAATGCCTAAAGAAATACAAGAACATATGAATGATGCCATTATTTTAGGATTTTGAGTGGAAAATCTTGAAAGTAGATTGAAATCAAAGAGTGAGATAGTTTACATAGTAAGTTTAGAGAAAAGATTGGTATATTTGAGGTTATCCCATTAAAAAAATGAACAGAACACTCAAATACATGGGAATCTCTGGCAGTCAATGCCATTTTTCTCCCACTGACTTCAGAAAAGAAAGAAAGAACCAAATTAGTGAAAGAAGCCTTATTAATATGCCACTGAACTAACTAGACACATGGGGGAATGCATTTAAGGAGTATGGATATTTTAATCCAGTTGGGAATTCTCAGACACTTTGGCTCTGAAATGATGCTTTTAAAAGAAAAGACAATGATAACAGAATACCTAGAGATTCACAAAGGGATATGMATAAGTCCAACATACATTGAAATAACTGAAATGTTGCCACTTAGGGAAGCAGGAAAATGAGATGTCAGCAGCTGAAAATAACCTATGATTTTACCAGCAGTAGYACAACTGATCAAAGACTGTTTTTATTCCCACTCTTGCTACTATGCAGAACTATGAGCAATAACAAAGGCAGAATATCTTTCCTTATGCCATTCAGTAGTTTGTGAATAGAGACTGTGTATCTCCACAAATATCACAACAGAAATTTATTTTTAAAATTCTGTGACAGATAAGCCATACTTGCCATTAAGTGCTTATTCCCCACTGAGCCACAGGCTGGTGTACAAAAAGTTTGACACCATTTGAAAGTAGGAAAACATATTCAACTTTTACCAAGTATTGCCTACCACACAATGACTTGTCAGAACAGACTTCAAAATATAAAATTATTATTTTTACTGTTTTTTTCATGCAGAAGAAAGAAGTGGTTATCTCCTGAGTGTGTCACAGATTATACCTGCACAAAGCACTAACAGAATGGTGGAAAAATACTTTCAAGCCTTGGATTTGCAGCTCTAGCAGGGGAATGGGAGGGACAAAAGGGCTTTGGCTGGGATATGGGAGAAGGACCTAAAAGATATGAAAATTTTATAAATACATATCAGAACTTATCAGACTAAGAGTGGCTTCTACTTTTCTTCCACCTAGTCTCCAGCTCTCTGCTTCTATGAAAACAAGCTCAATGTAAATTGCAAAAATTTTCCCCTCAGAGTAAGTGATGTTCAGGTATTTTTTATTTAATTTGTATTAAATTGCTTAGAATTTACTGACAAGCAATGATTCTTTTCAGCTCTAAATTTGTTATTCATGTCTCAGCAAAGACGGAAAGTCTCAAAACAGATCACGGCTGTCTGAAGGATGCCTATCAATGCAGGTARCAACCATGGTTCAGTTCACAACACTCAACAGTCACACTGAAAAGATTCCATTGTACAAATGCATTCCCAGCTGTGCAAAGGTGTATCTCCACCACCAGCTCTGGCACAAACGTGGCCACCCTTTGAGAAACCCTGCCACTCATGTTTTATACACTGGAGACGGGAACTACTGAAATTAAATTGTGCTTTCTAGTTATGAAAGCAYCTCATGCAGTTGGGCTTGCCTTAGGCATGACATTCAATGTACTTTGAAAAACTGTCTGAAAAAAACAGAACAAATATTAAATTCACTGTGGAAGATTAAATGGGATCAATGTACAAAAATTATTTCAAAATATGTGGACGTGCTATGACATTGGAATTTTCTAAAACAGTGATTTGGAACTCTTAGGGCAAATAGGTAAGAATATTCAAAAACTCACAGCTTTGGGTACTCCATTTCACTTAGAAGATACCTGCTCAGCAGAGCAGACTGCCAATTGAATAAWCCAGTAGAGTCAATGTAGTGCAGAAAAAATTTCTGGTAGACTGGCTGCTGGCTATATTGCTCATGTATAGATCTAGTGTATGACTCACTTGCATGATGGACAGGAATTCATTCAGCATTAAAGTTTCAGAGAAAATCCTTATCCCATTAAAAGAGCAACCTTTTGACCTCATGTACAAAATYATGCTGGCTTCCAGTAATGGCATTGTCAGCATTATATCTTTGCAACAAGTTTGCTTGTTAATATTGATATTAACATATTTGAAATTTAATSCCAGCAATATCAAACAACAAAGTGAATTTCCTTTTCTGGTCACAATGCATAGTGCTTTTAATTCTATTACCCAAGGCTGCTGTGCAGCTTGCCCAACACCATCCAATCTGAGAAACTCCTAAGTAAAACAGCAAAGTCATTTGTGTAAAGGATGGAYGTAGACTCACCCTCTTTTTGCTACAAAGCAAATGTTGAATCACAGCAGACAGCCTCAGTAGCCACCGTGATTTCATTATTTACCATCATTAATACAGAATAAAGCACCTAATTATCAAGTCATGGTGAAACTATTACAGATAGTGGAAGAGAATATACAAAGTATATAAGAAAATATAAGACTTCCCTTAAAAAAAAAAAAAAAAAAATCTAACAATATTTTCTTACCATGGCAGGAACCATCAAGTTCTTCATATCCCACACTGCAGATGCATCTTCCTAGAGGTACCAGCCAATCCCCATCTGCCCCACAATACAATTTTGGGGTGTCCCGTTCCTCAGCACTCTTCACGCAGGAGCCCCGTACCTCCACCAGTGAGGAAGAATCCACCCTTGGAATGGTGTCAGGAAACATGGCCAGATTACGGACCGTGAAAGGGCACTTCTTGTAATAGACACGGACTGAAACCAAAGCAATGCACGCTCCRATGTCCTGGAAAGCAAGATAAAATCCCTTCTTGTTTATCGGCCCAACTTCACGAACTTCCGTGTTGAGTTTGAGGATGCGGTCACCCAAGTCCATCTGGGTGAAGCTCTCATCAGCTGCTATGGTATCAATTTTAGTGTACTGGTTTGGCTTGAACCTTACTCCATGAGGCTCATCTGACTCCATGTAGTACAGGTTGAAAGTTTCCTTGCAGGTCCCCAGCACCCAMGGAATGCTGTTGCAGTCCCTCAGGGTGAACTTCAGCTCCACGTAGATTTTCTGTGCAGCATCACGGGAGACCCAGTTGGTTTGCAGCCAATTGTTTTGGTTKGGTTCCATCACATTGCACACCTGGTAAGTATGAATGGGACGGTTGTGTTCATCCATTTCAGTTATTGCATCCCACTGAAAAGAAAAAAAAGTGTTTGAAAACCAGGAAAAATAGGTATTATGCATATGCATACACTTGACCCATGTACATGCACCTGTGGCTTGATTATGTATAATTACTTCAAGTTTAAWGGAAAGAAAATGGTTAAAAGAAGGTAACTACAGAACACTACRTAAGTTTTATTTCAGAAACTTCACMATAATTSTGTATAATAATGATGTTTCTATTAAYAGAAACRCTGAAAARTKACTGGACCCTAGCAGAGAAGGAAATACTGGCTCTGTTTATTACATATATCCATATATTTTACATCATAAGCTCACCAAATGTTTATTACATAACCAACTGTTCCAAAAGATTACCAACATCCCAATAATAGCTTCACTGTAACTGAGTTAGCTTTCTACTGAGCAGTCATAATATCAATGTAGCATTAGAGAGAGATGTTTTCTTACCAAAACACAGAACTAGTTATAATTCTGTGTCCAAAACTCTTGTGTACCACCWGAAGTTTTACACTGGCTTCCAGATGTATTGATCCCTTGAGGGATCCCTTGAGGTGGAAGCAACAGAAAAAACAAAACAAAACAAAACAAGAACTAAAASCAACCAACATTAAAGTTACATTACAAGGAAGATATGCTGTATGTTCCAGAAAGATCTCAAAGAGAACAAAAAAACTCCTAAAAAACCCAAACAATCCAACCACACCAAATAGAGAATTAAAGAGTAGGTAGGTGATTTAAAAAGCAATGTAGTTTTTAAAACCCAGAACAGCCTYCCAAACAGGCATAGGCCAGCTTAAAATAAACCCTCAACATGCTACTGTCTCTTAAAATTATTAAGGGGGAAAAAAAATCCAACATATCCTCCCCTTACCAAGGGATTCTCTTCAGAAATATTTGAGTATCTACTCTACTCTGAATCAATATCTGAATTTGGACTYAGGAATCAAAGCCCTGAAGTTAGCTGTTAACTATGCAATTAATAGTATAAATCTATTACTTCTGTTGGAAAGTAAAGGCTCAGCACTTCAATAAGTGCTTTCAAAGAATAAAACAAAATGGATTGATCAAACACAGACAATGCTGTCGTTCATTCAAAGCACATCACACGTGCTTTGTGCCTATGCCTTTCCACTGTGCTCCCAGATATCCTACTGGCATCTCCCTTTTTACAGGAATTCATCTTTGGGCAAGAGAAATGTTTAAAATTTGCAAAACTGTTTAATTGAACTGGTAGTCTAAACACCACATATAYGAAATATTTGAAAAAGGTTAACATTGAACAGCTGGACTTGGTCATTGCACTGGRCCATGCTGGGTGAGGTGTGATTATCAATACAGCTGTTGGTTTGCTGGCATGTGCTTTTGGGTACCAGTCCCAAACAATGAGTGCAAAGAAGATTAACTTCCACCACCCCAAWATGTCCCTTTCATTGAGTGAAAAGTCTGACAGAACTCACTCTGTGCTAGTCTCTGACATGGACACAGTCTCCCTGCATGAAATAAAATCTGCTGAGTGCTTATTTTACCTGAATGTTGCATTTAGCTTCTGATAAAGACGGTTAGGGAAGGCAACAGTTGAATTCAGGTCAGATAACAAAAAGCCAAACGATTTATAAAATACACTCTAGTTTTTCTTTGGATATATTTCATTTTATAGCTCTTAATTAATTAACTTGTAAGTGTTTATAAATATTTTAGTTGTGCAAAACTTCAAAACCAAGTAACAGAAGTATCTCACTGGTTATGTCTGCACAAGAATGTGGTGGTTCTCCCCAAAATCCCTGACCTGACAGGCACAAAAGCTGTCAGGAGCTGTCTTGCTTCGACAAGCTGACAGTTCAGACCTCCTTCAAACTTCAGCCATCCTACTTTGCTGCTTTACTTTCAAAACCTTTTGATTACAGTCCTTTCAAGTGAGGAAARCCTCTGATAATGCTGGTGGAAGCAGCAGCAGCATAAAGCTAATTCTTACATCTGGAMTTCCAGGACTTTTGGAAAAGACATGTTAAAAACGTGGTTTGGAAGGAAGACTTCAAAATTCTACTTGAGTGATGTAATAAAAACCAGCATGGATAAGAGGTTACATTTTACATGTAGTGCAAAGTAGGAGTAAGTTACTAAAATAGAAGAAAATACAATTTGAAGATTGTAGAGAAGGTGCCAAGATTACTTGTCGCATCCAAGTACAAAATATGAGATTAGGCTACAAACCACACTGGGATTTTAGTTAAAGTCTCAKCTGTTTCCATATTCCACAAGCTACTTGTCAACCTCTCTGTTTCATTTTTAAACTTCACTAATATCTAACAGCTGTACAGAGAACACTATTAACAGCAAATTACATAACTTTAATCTTGTATGAGCCATGTAATACTGAAATCTATTTTTATTTATATCAATTTTTTTCTTCTTATTTCAAACCAAAACACTGCTGATTAAAAAAAAAAAATAAGCAAGACCTATTTGTACAATTCAGTACTGAAAGCTGTTCCAATTAACAGGGGTAGTTATAYCATGCAATTGAAAATGTCTATTTGATAATGAGCTGATATCGAGGTAAAYTTTACATGTAGTAAAAGGCACCTCTTCCACAAGCTGTCACACTGATTGATGGATTATTAYTGGGTTCTTAATCTCAGAAAACAGTTGTTGAGGTACCGAGCCCAGCAGCAGCTTGGTAACCAAGGATGTCAGTTTCAGAGTCTTGCACACCTCAAGATTATTTTTGATATTGATATACATATTGGTATTTTACATACATATTGATGTTTTACCTTATTTAAAAGAAAAGGGGTGGGGTACTGGTTCCTTAACTGCATGCCCTCACTCAGTTTATCAAGGAGACCATCTGCTCTTACACATTTTCCAGCATTTGTATCCTAGGCAAGAAAGTGCCCTCYCCCTTATCATTTTACTCAAAGGTTAATTCTCTAAAAATTAAGAGTTCTGCWCTTCCACATGCCTAACCAGTGTCTCTTAGCTCACCCCGAATAAGAAAATTTTGGGATAAACAAAATCAACACATTTGAATATCAAGCACACAGTGGCACCCTGGATAAAATACTCTACACAAATCACTTCTTATTGAACAAAACACATAGGGATAAGCACTGGCTTTCCATGCCAAAGGAAAAAGTTGTGCCTGAAAACAGCATAGGATAGGAAATGGAAACAAAACCTGTTGGCTGCATTTTACTACCTGCTAAGAAGACCACTGTTAAAGCAAATCTTCAGCAGATAAGTCTTATCTGACAACAAAAGGAAGATTTCCATTCTAAATTGAAGAACAACATGTATAAGGTTCATGCTAGAGAGATCTGGTTTACTCTGTTGACTTTAGCAAGAAAGGTAATTTSAAAAATGCAGCTATTTCTTACCACAAACACAGGCTGACATTTGAAAATTCAGTGAACCTGAACTGTAGAAATGCAATTTTCCTGACATATATATCCMTCATTTCCCACAAACACCCACTTGAAATAGGTCAGGTCACTGTTAAAAAGTCCATGTTATAAAAGGGGTGGACTATGCTATACAGAACTGCTACTATCCTAAAACAGTCTGAAGGAAGTTGTGTGTCCACACAACTCAAGTACCCAAGAACAGTTAAATACACATTTCCTTACTTATCACATCCAATGATGACAAAAAGAAAGCATTAAGTGTTTTCTCCAGTATTTTAACTGGTCCTTCTTTTTTCCCCCCACACTAAATGGTGTGCTACTTATTTAGGTCATCCCAGATCTCAGCTGGGAGTCACCTAATGAAATCTACACGTGTAGAACACTTCAGCTGTTCACTGCTGACAATCTCATAGATCCCATTTCCATGGAAACAAGCTAAATGGTAAAAGTAAAGAGAGTTTTAAAAGGTTTTTTAAMTTCCCTTAAACTAATCTCCAATGAGCTGATCCTCATAAAAATGAGATCAGAAAGGTCTAAACGAGGAAACACCGGAGGAGGACTTGCACTTGGCACAGACAGCTGCCATCTGACAATGCAGAGTTACACACCTTGCTGCTGTAGTGACATTGAGGCAAAACCAGCTACAGATTACAAAACAGAACTGCAGGAAAAAAACTCCTCTCAAATTAATATACTTAGGAAATGAACACTTTAAGGCACAGTTGGCATTTTAAATGACATGAAAACCAGCAAGACCAAAGAATATTTAAAAGAACTGCAGAATTGTTATAAGTTAAAGGTGTTGGGTTAATATTTTCCCCTTCCCTCTAACTCATTGTTCTTTGCCTTCATTTTTCCCAAGATCTACAATTCTGTATGTGAAAACAGATGCTCAGACCTCCAAGGATGAGTGGTAACACTGAACTAATGAAATGTGCCTATTTAAAAGGCGGGGAAAGAAAAGTAGACAAAATTCCCCTGCCATGCATGTATCCCAACAAGTACAAGTTGATGTCACTGGCAAAATAAAACAGTAATTGAACTACTTATGTTCTTAGATTTAAAGTGAGGTGGTTTAAAACTGCTTAGGAAAGCCATACCAATATSTAGCACACCTTTTATTAGCTCTAGAGYGCTAAAACCACAACTRAAGAAACTGTGACACCTGTTTTCTATATGGGCAAARAATATGAGAGTAGAGGGCAAACCCMTCCAAAACTGTAAAAGTAAACATAAAAGGAAACAACAAAATCAGAATTACATAAATAAAGAATAATTAGGGCAGTGTAAACAAAACACAGGGAAAAAAGTTGTTAATACACTCAAAATTGAAACCCAAAAGTTAATCACTTCTCTGTTATTTACATGAAGCACTGAATAACTGAGAGATCAGCTGCTCCAGGTGATCTAACTCTACTCTGGAAACCTGGTTCACAGAAATATTTTCTATGGGCAAGCAAGACCAGGATTTGACGAGATTTGGGGGATGAACCCTGGAATTCAAGCGAGACCAATTTCAGGTACATGAAACAATTGACTCTCACTTGGGGATTAGGCAGCATAAGACTTTAGGATCAGCAGGCAAAATAAGGCAGCCCTGCT